CGTCATTAATCATTAATCAAACTTTTCATTAGTGATAAAGAGATGATCCCTCTGGGCTCCAAGAGCTTGGTGGCTTGGCAGAGCCTCACCCAGGCCGCGGGCTGGTGGGATCCGGCACTCGCTGTGGGCCAGCTCTGCGAGGGCCCATTTCCCAGGTGAGAAAATCAAGGCCTGGAGCTGAAGGGACCCCGCCCAGGGCCCTGTGGCTGGTGAAGTCGGGGGGACTCCCATCTGGTTGGCTGACCACTGAGCCCCTGTTTTAACCATCCCCATACAGCCAGACTGGCACTGCGAGCGGCCCCCACAGAAGGCAGGCGGGTCTTTTCCAGGGGCCCTGCTTACAGACCACGGCGTCTGCCTTAATGAGCTCCATAAACAACACTCAAACAAACAGCAGCAGCAGCGGCCACCGACCTGCCAGGACAAACAAGGGACGGGTCCCCAGCAAGTGGCAAGGAGGAGGGAACTCAGCCCTGTGTGGATCAGGACTCAGGCCCCACCCATAAGGACAAGGGGAGGGGTGCAGAGGGCTGAGGTAACTCATACCAGGTCACCCTGAAGACACAGGCTGCACAGAGAAGGTGCCAAGCCAGGGACCGAGCTCCCCAAAGGCTGGCATTCCCACACACCCGCCTGGTGCCGCCCGGCGTGGTGCTGAGGCTGCACAGCGGACAGACCCCGAGGAAGGGCCTTCCAGGCAAGGGAACAGCATATGCTAAGGCAGACAGGGTGGCTCCCAGCCCTTCCACCCAGAGGGTCATATCAGAGTGAGCGACTCCCAACCTAGGAGAGCAGAGGCGAGCTGAGGGTGGGGCCTGCCCAGGCCTGGAGAACTCCCTCCCTCTGGTCAGCTGAAGGAGAAACCAGCCCAGCCCGCAGGCCGCATGGCAGCTGGACGGTTCTCTTGGGCGCTGGCTGTGAGCTGGGCACCCACCACCAGGGAGGGTCTGCACTGGAAGAAAGCTGCCAGCTGCACACAGGGCAGGGCCGAGAAGGCAGGGATCCCAGAGGCCTCTGGGCCTCAGGCCTGGGCACAGGCTCTAGGCTGGAGGCCCTGGGCAGGGCACGTGTGTCCCCTGCAGAGCCCTGAGTGAAGACGCCGTGTGACTGGGCTGGAGGGGCCAGGGCTCCCCTCACAGTGGGCAGCTCTCCCCCCCTGCTCGAGGGCACAGGCCGAGGATGCCACGAGGCAGCCCACGGTCCCACGAGGCCTCAAGGGCTCTGTCCACAGCCCTCCCTGCCCACGGCCGTCCCTGCCATGCTCCCTGTGCCCTGCACCATGGGTGGCCTCACTGGCCTTAGGCTCTGCCTAGCCCTGTCTCTCAGGGTGGGGTGAACAGCTTACAACCCCATGGGAGGACTGGGCTGCCAAGGGTCCTTAGACCCCTGGGTGTCACCCCAAGGGTGACTGAGAACTGATGGTAAATGAGAGAAGGTGATGCCCCCGACCCCCACTCCCTGTCCAGTGAGATCCACATGCTGGCTCTCTCCCTGCCCTCACCAGCCCTCCAAAGACACAGCAATGAATAAGTAACCACACAGCCCCCCCCTCCCCGGGATGTCCCGCCGGGTCCCCTTGGTGATGGGTCATTCCTCAATCCTGGGGACCTCAGCCCCTCTCTGGCCTGCATCCTGCTGGATTTGCACATCTCTGACTGGGGTGGGGTGCTGACCTTGCCTTCCTGTGTCCACTGCTCAGACGCCTACTGGTCACCCATGGTCCCCTTCCTCTGGCCTCCTGGGGAAGGGGCTCCCCACGATGGGGGGGGGGG